GGTTTTAATCTGTTTCTGGGATTCCCTTGGCCGAGAGGGGTCTCTTCAGGTAGCAGAGGTCTTAGGGTGTTATTTTTAGTTCACAAATTCATTTCTAATTTAATCAGTCTCCTGCTTACGGACATTTGAGTTAGAACTGATTTCTTTTTATTACAAACAAGGTTGCAATAAATACTCTCATGCATAGGTCATTTTGCAAATATAAGGATATATCTATTGGATAAATTCCTAGAAGTGGAATTGATGGATCAATGGGGATATGTATTTGTCATTTTCACAGATACTGCCAAATTGCTCCCCATCAGCAATAAGCAAGTACCTGCTTTTTAATACCCTTACCACTACCATGGCTAATATTCAGTTTTATTTTGTTGCCTTTTCTATGCTGTAACCTCTCTCTGTTATTGCCACATCTTCAGCAAAAGTCTGTACTACATAGTACCATGGGCTTTGGGGAGTGGAGGAGGGGGAAAGTACTGTTAAAAGTACTGTTGAAGAGGATCACAACATGCCATCACAAAACATGCCACTTTGACGAATTGCCTATTTTGAATGGAAGGCAATTGAGAAACAGCAGATTTCAGGGTCAGGCTTGGTTAGTACTTGGATGGGAGACCCAGCAGAAGCAGGAAGGGCTCTCTAATTTCCTCTTTTTATGTAAAAGCAGGGCATAAATTTCTTGTGATAAAGGTAACATCTCTGTACCAGGAAGAGGAGGACATTCTTACAACTGGATGTAGGGAGTTGACATCAAGGTGAATGTACAAACCTTACTAAGATAATGCTCATCTTCCATTTGTTTTCCCATATATTTCCTAGTCACTCTCCTACAATTTACCACCTCCTGGCCCAAATCTCCTTTTCTATCATCTTTTTGCATTTCTACCATTTATTGCTTTTTGTTAAAAAAGCCCCCAGATCTAGCTATTTATTTGGATCTTCATTTCTTTTCTATAAAGGCCTCCCATGTAAACATTAAAAAAATTAAAAAGTAAACATCAAATGAAATTTGTTTGCTTTTCTCCTGTCAATCTCTCTTTTGTCTGTTCCATTGACAGGTCCATGTCCAGAGCTTATGAGACTAGAGGAAAATTTCTCCCCTCTACAATGTCAGGTATGTGAGGGGAAGCAGGCTCAGATGTGAATAGGATGTGCTAGAGATAAGATGAGAAGGGACCAAACCTTAAGGAATATGTATGTTGTGGGAACAGACCAAAATATATGATTTCCCTGAAAATCCAGCACACCCTGGCATTTATGTAGCATGTGCAATGGATACTAGAGTCATTCATTTTGTCATTAAAGGAAAAATACATCCCAAAATGCCACAAATTTTAAGGGTTCTTAGGTTGTTACTGTAAGGGTAAAAATCCCATCCAAGAGGGAGGTAGTGTCTTGGCTCTTCACACTAATACAGTGGTGCTGGAAGGATGATCATGCTCCTTCCCAAAACTTCCAGAGTAATGAACTGCATTAGTTCTGAGACTCCCAGATTTCAGTATCTGTCTCCAGGAGAATCCATTCTCTGAGCTGGTGTAACCTGAGAATGGAGACCCCATGCCATCATGGCCAGCTTCTGTGCCTGGTTCTGTGGGGAATTACAACCTGGAAGAACACCATGGAAACTATCTCCTGTACTCTGAATTTGTGCCCCTGGCTTGTGGATTTTTTTCCCTTCTAATTCATTCATATATGTTTTTATCTTTAGTAATGCTTGCCTTCTATTTCTTTTTTTTTTGAGACAGAGTCTCACTCTGTTGCCTGTGCTAGAGTGCCGTGGTGTCAGCCTAGCTCACAGCAACCTCAAACTCTTGGGTCAAGTGATACTCCTGCCTCAGCCTCCCGAGTAGCTGGGACTACAGGCATGTGCCATCATGCCCGGCTAATTTTTCCTATATATATTTTTAGTTGTTTTGGCTAATTTCTATTCATAGTAGAGACAGGGTCTCGCTCTTGCTTAGGCTGGCTTTGAACTCCTGACCTTTGAGCCATCCTCCCTCCTTGGCCTCCCAGAGTGCTAGGATTATAGGCGTGAGTCATGGCGCCTTCTATTTCTACTGTGATCATTTTGTTATTTTTCTAAGCTCACTGTCATTGAATTAAACCCAACAAGTAATTGGTAAATCCACAATCATAATGAGCAACTTCAAAACACCTTTCTCAGGAACTGGCAGAGCAAGTAGGACAAAGCAACATAAAAAGAAAGTTTAGAAGATTTGAACACATCAGTTACTAATCTTGAAAATATGCATATGAAATTTTGAACCCAACGAATAAGAAATATACCTCCTTCTTTTTATTTTAATTTTTATTTTATTATTATTTTTTGAGACAGAGTCTCGCTTTGTTGCCCAGTCTAGAGTAAGTGCCCTGGCATCAGCCTTGCTCCCAGCAACCTCAAACTCCTGGGCTCAAGCAATCCTACTGCCTCAGCCTCCTGAGTAGCTGGGACTACATGCATGTGTCACCATGGTTGGCTAATTTTTTCTATATGTATTAGTTGGCCAATTAATTTCTTTCTATTTATAGTAGAGATGGGGGTCTCGTTCTTGCTCAGGCTGGTTTCGAACTCCTGACTTGGAGCAATCTGCCCGCCTCGGCCTCCCAGAGTGCTAGGATTACAGGCATGAACCACTGTGCCCAGCCTCCATGTTTTATCTTTAAGGCAAAAGCCACTGCAGGAAGACATTGCCCTAGGTGGTAAGGTCTATGCGAGATGGAATTCCTTTTATTCATTATCAAGATGAAGATTAAGGACTCACATGTTAGTGGCTGAGTTAGATTTCTTCTGCTATGGATTGTTTTCTTGTCTGAAGCCAATTGCTATCTGTGTACCAAAAATGCCGCTTATTTTCCATGTGATGATGGTTCACTTCCTTGTTCTTAAGTGCCCTTAGGGTTTCAATGTCAATCTAGTTATTTCAGTGAGCTTTTCAAAGGTTTTCTGGTAAATCCACGTGGTCAGTTCTTCATCTTTAATCTTAAATCAAAATGATTTTGTGAGGACAGTTATAGCCCTTCCCAAGTGTCTTGGTTTTGCTCACTTCTCCGTGGAAGTGGAATGTCTTTCTTAGGGGCCATGCTGAGCACCTCTGAAGCCCTTTAGAGCCTCCAAAATAAGTATTTTTTGTTCTAACTTCTCTCCAGGATCCAAGTGAATTTTCTTAATTTGTTTTTCCTTTCCCTCATAAAAAAATTTGACTAACTTTACATTCATTATCATTATTATTCATGTATGCTTCTTTGTAGAAAGTAAATAATGATTTTTTTTCTCCTTTGCAACATGTAACATAGTGCTTTGCCTAAAGAAGGAAATTTCTGTGTGGTTGAATGAAGAGATTCTTTATGATCATTTAGAGGTGAGGAAGATGTTTCTGAGAGGAGGAAGTTGCCTGAGAACCTCAGCATTTGATATCCTTCATGTCAGATTTCCTCTTATAAACTATAATGAGAATATCTAAAATTGAGGTTAAAGTAATGGACATTCTGAAAGCACTCAGGAATTTAAGCAATTCAAAACATGATGTTTCAGTTCTGTCCTACCCAAGAACCTAATTGGCACTCTTTCTGAAACTGAACAAATGCCTGTCAAAGTCTAATCTTTGGGCCAGAAGTGGTCACTGAGTAGGGTCCATGTTTTCTCTAGTTTTTCTTTTGTGATACTGTCTTATAATTATTTATAGAAGGAGTTCTTAAACTTTTATGAGTGATTGGCACCTTTGAGAATCTGAGTAAACCCATGTATACTTAAGCTAGAAAAATGCACATGCATACAAAATTTTAACTGTTAACAGGTTCATGTATTTATTGCCTGAAAGCATCCACAGAACCTAGGCTAAGAAGTATCAGAATTTGATATTGTTTCTGACATTGACTCTTAGGATAGTTATCAAAACTCGGAATAAACTAAATATTTCATGGTTTTATGTCTTCATTAATTTCAGAGTAGTCCGTGAGGAAACTTTTCCATACCAAAGCTGTCAAACACACACAACTGATAAAATGGATACTGTAAGATTCTTGAGAAGGCAGGAATGGTCAGAAGGAAAAAGATATGATTTACCTGAGATCAAAACAGTTCTAGGTAGTGGTTTGCAAAATGGGGTCTTAAGCAACACCGGCATCACCTGGTAACTAGATATAAATGCAAAATTTTAGTCCTCGTTTAGACCTACAGAATAAGTTCTGTAGGTACTTATTCTGGTCAAGGTCAGAAATCCTTGTTTGAACAGGCGCTCCAGGTGGTTCTGATGCTTAAGTTTGAAAACCACTGCGCTAACTAGGCTAATGCGAGGAAGCCGAAGAGGGGAGCCGGTACTAACGCTTGCGGTGGTTGGAATTTGCGGGCACGGAGCATTGCAAGTCGCGGGCACTCAACTAGAGATCAGAGGAGCTGGTCTGTTTCCTCGACTAGGAGAAGGAAGATAATCCACAGCTTTCTCTTTCCTACAGGGTGAGGGACCCCAGGCCCCTCCTTCTGAGCCAGACTATGTCACCACGTCCGCCTGAGCTCCCGGAGGACTCCAGAAAGGAAAGAATGGAAGCAAACACAGGAGGATAGTGGGGGCGGCAAGAAAAGAAATGACGAGGGCCAAGCTCCACGGCCCGCAACTCTGCCTAGCCAGATTCGCTCTCGTGGTCCAACTCCCGGCGCCCAGTTAGAACCGTTTTTTGTTCTTTTTTGCTTTTAGAATTGAAGGAAGGTCCGTCACGGCCTCCCACTTCCGGCCCCTAGCCTATGGGAACCGAAACGCTCAGCCAATTAGCGCCCTGCATTCTTTCCGGCGTTCAGCGCGCTTCCATGGAAACGGAATGGGCGAATCCAAACACAGGGGCTGCTGTGAGTCCAGTACTCCCCGCCGGTGGGTTGGTCCTAAGGCAGGTTGAGAAGCCGTCAGAGAGGGGGAAGGAACCCTCGGGAACTCTCACTTCCGGGCCCCAACCAATAGGAACGGAAACTGCTCAGCCAATCAGCGCCTGGCGTTCCTTCCGGCGTTCTGCGTGCTGCCGTGGAGACGGGATGGGCGGATCCAAACGCGGAGGGGTGCTGGATCCCGCGAGGCTGGGCGCTGCTTCCGCGCATCGCCGCTTTACTTCCCCGCTTTCCCCCCGTTCGCGGGCCTGTGGACCTGTCCCGAGGCGGAGGCCCAGACGTGCGCACCCGCGGGAGCAGTCAAGCGGACTAGCTGCTTCTCCAGACCGAGCGATCAGGTGCGTGGCAGGGGCGATTTTAGGAGCACGGTTCTGGGGTCGTGTCTCGGTCGGCGGACACGTAGGCGTGGGGGGCGCCGCCCGGCTGCCCTTGCTCCGTGCGTCCGCGGACCTCGTGCTCCCCGCTGCGCTCCCCTCCAGTCGGCCTCACTCCGCGAGCCCTGCTCTGCGCCGGCGTTCAAGTAAAACCCTGCCCAAGTTTCCTTCGGGCTTTGGTCCGGGGCACGCGCGGGACGCCTCTTCCAGCGTCCAGGTGAAGGGGAGATGAGGGGCGCTCTGTTCCTGGGCTTGGGAGACGCGCTTTATGGGTGCCGCCTCTTAAAACCCGAACCGGAACCCGCCTCCCCCCCCCGGCCCAACGCCCCGGCCCCAACCCAACCCCCCAACCCGCCCGGCCCCCACCGAGCGAGGCGGTGGAAGCTGCCGCGAGCTGCCTGGTGGAAGGAGCGGCAGATGCTTACAGGGCGACTCCAGGGCTGCGGTCGGTTCCGACTGGAAAAAGCCGCGGGGAGGAGCACCTGTAGAGAGAGCGCTTAGCATAGTGCCCGCCGCCTTTCGCGTCCCAGCCGGAGTCGCAGAGTGGAGCGTGCATCGAAGTCGCCGGAGGGCAGGGCGTGTGTTAGTTAACACACATTTCCGGGCCCTGCCTCTGCTATTTCTGGTTCTGTACACCTGCTGCGGGGTCGGGACTTTGCAGTTCTCGTTTCCCAGGTGATGCTGCTTGCTGGTGCGGGAGGCAGCGATCTCGACGAAGGTGGGAGCGATTGAGGGGAGGAGGGTTCCAGTCTTGGCCCGCGTACCTGTATCACCTGGGCCGTGTCAGTTTGTCGAATGTAGCACCTGCCCCCTGAAATCTTAAACGACTCGTTTGCACGTGTGTGATTTGCTCTGCTTTCTGGCTTCTCAGATCCTTAGGCGAACTTGTAGATTAAATACTACTCCAAGGGCGCACCACGTTTTTAGAAAACTAGAAAGAATAAACGGTGGTGTCTGAGAAAGCACGCTTGAGTGAGAAAACTGTTAAGAGTTGGGAAGGGATGACTATGAAAGTCAGGAGGGTGGTTACTTAGGGGATCAGGAGGGATTGTGATTGAGGTAGGCTCATGGAGGGGCTCAGGTTTGGTGCAGGCAAGGTGCTATGTCCTGACCTGGGTGGTGAATATGTGTGTCACTCTTATAATTATTCATTAAACTATATATTTGTTTTATAGGGTTTCTGTATTTGTGTTATGTTTGACAATTAAGAGGTAACAGATTTTTAAAAATGCATATTAGGAAGTCTTTAATGGGGAACAGTTTTGAGATTGAGTGAAAAAGAATCTTAAAGTCATAGAATTTCAGATTTTGAAAGATAACTTAGAATAATCATCTGACCCTTTGTTTATTTTTTATTTTTGAGACCGTGTCTTGTTCACCTGGGCTAGAGTGCAGTGACGTGATCATAGTTTACTGCAGCCTCCAACTCCTGGGCTCAAAGGATCCTCCTGCCTCAGTCTCCCCAAGTAGCTAGGGCTACAGGCGTGAGGCAGTGCTCTCTGCCTTCAATTCTTACTTTATTCTAGGAAAATTGAGCTCCAGAGACAAGTGCTTGAAAGTAACAAACCATCCTTATCCAAGCAGGTTTGTAATTGACTTGTTTTGTTAATTTCAAGCTGAGTGCTGTGGTCAGATGTAGCTACTGAGTACAGGTTGAGGAAATGAATTTGGCTTAAATCAAATTCAAAATTTCAAGATTCTACTTAATTTTTTTTCCCCTGTGGCCTGAAACTTTATTTTCAAGAAATCAGTTATATTAAATAAAAACTTATTTCATCATCTTGTCCTGATGTAGCTTAATGTAGCCAATTTGCGAACATTTATTTATTTTATTTATTTATTTACTTACTTACTTATTTATTTATTTAGAGACAGAGTCTCGCTTTGTTGCCCAGGCTAGAGTGAGTGCCTGGCTCAGCCTAGCTCACAGCAACCTCAAACTCCTGGGCTCAAGCGATCCTACTGCCTCAGTCTCCGAGTAGCTGGGACTACAGGCATGCCACCATGCCCGGCTAATGTTTCTATATATTAGTTGGCCAATTAATTTCTTTCTATTATAGTAGAGATGGGTCTCGCTTTGCTCAGGCTGGTTTCGAACTCCTGACCTTGAGCTATCTCCCCGCCTCGGCCCCTCATAGTGCTAGGGTTACAGTGTGAGCTAGGCTCACAGTGTGAGCCACTGTGCCCGGCCCAATTTGTGAACATTTAATTAGGGCTTTTGTTTTTTTTTTCCTGGCTTAATAGGTTTTCCATCTTAATATATTATCAGTTTAATCTTATTTTGGTTATATTACTATGTATTGTTGACCTCTTGCCACATAAATACTCCAGTTAAGTCTACATTTTGGTGGACCAGGACTCAGGATTGATTCTTTTTAATGAATGGGTTTTAGAGATGAGAGGAATATAAAAGAAACTTAGGAAAACTGTCATTAAAGGAAATAGAGACTAATCTGTGCCTTTTTGGCTTTTCATTTATTTAAAATCAAAATTCTCCTCATCTACTTAGAATTTCTTAATTTCTGTGGCGATAATCTGGCTTCTTCTGATTTGAACTAGACACCAGGTTTATAATCCAAACAACTGCATGTAATTCCTACCCAGCAAATTTGTATGTAGAATTTTTCCCATTTTGCAGTACGTTTTAATTTCAGTGGAAGATGGAATCATAGAATTAGTGTTATCGCTAGATTCTTAGAACACTGGTTCTATGTATCAGGACAGGTGTCAGCAAACTACTCCTCATGGGCCAACTCTGGCTCTTGGCCAGAGTTTTTATATGGCTTACAACCGAGGAATGCTTTATAATTTGTTAATATGGTTTGGAAAAACAGTCAAAAGAATTATATTTTGTGATGTGTGAAAATTATATGAAATTTAAATTTCATTGTTTATAAACAAAGTTTTAATGGAACCCAGCCATGCCCATTTACTTGTCTCTGGCTGCTTTGCGGGTGTAACAGCAGAGTTGAGTAGTTGCAACCGTGAACATAAGGCCTGTGAAGCCTAAAATGTATACTACCTAAAATATTACAGAAAAATATTTTCAACTCCTACACTAGAACAATCTTAGAAATTTTTTCATCTATAAAATAAATTTTCTTACTCTTTGTGCAGCTTATTGCCCACTTTTCCCTTAGTTTAATCTTAAATTCTTTTCAGCAATAGGTAGCCAGTTTTACTCTCAAATTTTCTGAAGCCTTTAAAATTTTGGCAAAATACACAGAGCATAAAATTTACCATCTTAACCCTTTTTAAGGGTACAGTTCAGTAGTGGTTAAGTATAGTCACATTGTTATGTACTAATCTCTGTAACTCTTTTCTTCTTGCAAAACTGAAACTCAGTCCATTAAACAACTCCCCATTTTCCCTTTTTTCCTACCCCCCCAACCGCCATTCTACCTTCTGTCTCTATGAATTTGACTACTCTCAGCAGCTCTTATAAGTGGAATCATACAGTATTTGCCTTTTTGTGACTGGCTTATTTCACTTAGTGTAATGTTGTCAAGGTTCTTCCATGTTGTAGCATGTGTCAAGGTTTCTTTCCTTATAAAGGCTGAATAATGCTCCTGTGTGGGTGTATATACATACATACTGCATTTTCCTTATCCATTTATCTGTTGATGGACACTTGGATTGCTTCTGCCTTGTGGCTTTTGTGCATAATGCTTCTATGAACATAGGTGTACAAAGATCTCTTTGAGACCCTGCTTTCAATTCTTTTGGATACATACCCAGAAGTGGAATTGCTGGATCTTATGGTAATTCTATTTTTATTTCTTTTGAGCCATACTATTTTTCATAGCTGCTATACTATTTTACATTCTTCACCAATGGTACACAAGAGTTCTAATTTCTCTGCATCCTTACTGACATTTATTATTTTCTATGTTTTATTTTTATAGTAGACATTCTAATGAGTGTGAGAGTATCTCATTGTGGTTTTGATTTGCTTTTCTCTAAACATTAGTGATCCTGAGCATCTTTTCATGTGCTGTTGACAATTTGTGTATTTCTTCTTTTGAGAAATGTCTATTCAAATCCTTTGCTCATTTTTGAATTGCGTTTTTTGCTGTTGGATTGTAGGAATTCTTTGTGTTCTAGATACTAATCTCTTATCAGATATATGATTCGGAAATATTTTATCCCATTCTGTGGGTTGCCTTTCCACTGTGTTGATAATGACCCTTGATGCACAGAAATACTTGTTTTTTTGAGACACAGGTTCACTCTTTTGCTCAGGGTAGAGTGCTGTGGCATCAGCCTAGCTCACAGCAACCTGAAACTCCTGGGCTCAAGTGAGTTTTCTGCCTCAGCCTCCCGAGTACCTGGGACTACAGGCATGTACCACCATGCCTGGCTAATTTTTTCTATAAATTTTTTTAGTTGGACAATTAATTTATTTCTATTTTTAGTAGAGATGGGGGTCTCGCTCTTGCTCAGGCTGGTCTTGAACTCCTGACCTTGAGCCATCCTCCCATCTCGGCCTCCTAGAGTGCTAGGATTACAGGCGTGAGCCACCGCACCTGGCCTAGAAATCTTAAGTTTTAATGTATTCCAGTTTATTTTTACTTTTGTTGCCTGTGCTTTTGGTGTCTAGCTTATAGCCCTTTTTAGAAAACTCGAGATATAATTCACTTCTTTAAAATTTACAATTCATTGGTTTTTAGCACCCAAAATGCTACAAAATCTGAAACTTTTTGAGTGCCAACATGATGCTGAAAGGAAATGCTTAGGAAACGTTTTGAATTTGGAATGCTCAACTGTTAAGTATAATGCAAATATTCCAAAATCCAAAAACATCCAGAATCTGAAACGCCCCTGGTCCCAAGAATTTTGCATAAGGGACACTTAACCTGTATATTTACCCACTTGTGCAATCATCATCACCACTGTTGAATTCCAGTACATTTTCATCACCCCAAAAAGAAACCCTATATCTGTTAACTTACCGCTTTTTTTAAAATTTTATTTTTTTATTTCAGCATATTATGACAGTACAAATGTTTAGGTTACATATATTGCCCTCATCACTTTTTTACATTTCCTGTTTCAAAGGGATTTTGCTATAGGTTCTGACATTTTGGATACTACACGAAACACAGACTTTTTAAAAAGGATATTTTATGGCTTGGATAATTTCTGAAAAATATTTTTTAAAAAAGTTTTGATTCTAATTTAGTCAAATGGAAAGAGTAACAGAGGTAAATTAATATTTTCCCCCAGCTTTATCAAGATATGATCCACAAATAATAATTATATGTATTTAAGGTATACAACATGTTGTAGTAATGGAATTTTTCTATAGTCTAACACAGGGGTCCTCAAACTTTTTAAACAGGGGGCCAGTTCACTGTCCTTCAGACCGTTGGAGGGCTGGACTATAGTTTAAAAAAAACTATGAACAAATTCCTATGCACACTGCACATATCTTATTTTGAAGTAAAAAAAACAAACGGGCAAAAACACCCACATGTGGCCCACGGGCCATCGTTTGAGGACACCTGGTCTAACATGTATAATTCTCCCAAAGAGATGCCAGTGTATGAAAGATTGATATACTTTGATTATGTTGTCGCAAATTTGTTGGTGAAGGCATCAATTCCACTATTTTACTTCAATTCTAAATCTAGTCTGATAAAAGATTGCATCAAGTCCTTATTCATGAAAATTAAAGGATTATGTTGGCCAAGAAAATGAATTAATTTAACCACTGTTGCCTTAGATGAAGGATGAAGTGCTTGGTTAAAAAAGAAAATCTTTAGGGGTTAATAAATGCTTTCTATTATATAAATGGCCGGATAGTAAATATTTTAGGGTTTGTGTACCTCCTACAGTGTCTGTCGTGATTATTCAACTCTGCCACTGTAGCAGCCATAGGCAATATGTAAATGAACGAGTATGACTATGTTCCAATTAAATTTTACTTACTAAAGCAGGCAGCAGGCGTCATTTGGCCTATAGAAGCCAGTATTTTGCTGACCTCTGACTTTCAATGATATTTAGATTGACTCTTACAATCTCTATGGATTAGGTGGAAATATTGTCATTTCATATTTATTTACTCAGTAAAGTGTTTGCACATATATTTTATTAATTTGCTTTTCATAATTTGTAAGGTTTAGGTGGCGCATATGTTGTTTGTAAGGTTTAGGTGGGACATACACGGATATTGAGACACAGTGGCTAAAATGTAATTCATATCCTGAGTTTGTTACTTGTGTTTGAAACAGCTATTTTTTTCACAATTTTTTAAAGATTTTGTTGATAGGAAGTTGAACATTAGTCTGTGAATTGTTTGTTTTATTTATTTTTCCCTTGGCTTTGTTATCCTATAAAAAATCGACACCAGGCCGGGCACGGTGGCTCATGCCTGTAATCCTAGCACTCTGGGAAGCCGAGGCAGGTGGATCGCTCAAGGTCAGGAGTTTGAAACCAGCCTGAGCAAGAGTGAGACCCCGTCTCTACTATAAATTAGAAAGAAATTAATTGGCCAACTAATATATATATGTAAAATTAGCCGGGCATGGGGGCACATGCCTGTAGTCCCAGCTACTCGGGAGGCTGCGGCAGGAGGATCGTTTGAGGTTGCTGTGAGCGAGGCTGACGCCACGGCACTCTAGCATAGGCAACAGAGTGAGACTCTGTCTCCAAAAAAAAAAAAAAAAAAAAAGACACCGGTATCCAACACTTAAGTGAATTTTCTGAATTTATAGAATTATTAGATTTATTAATTATTAGATTTATTAAATGTCGTAGGCTAATTATCCTAGGCTAACTAATTATTCAACTGGCTTATATTTATAAGTGTCATTTCTGTTTACCTTTCAGGAGCTAGAGATGCTATTTTATCATCTGTGAGAAGTTGGCCCAGAGATGGAAAACTTTATTCTCTATGAGGAGATTGGCAGAGGAAGCAAGACTGTTGTCTATAAAGGGCGACGGAAGGGAACAATCAATTTCGTAGCTATTCTTTGTACTGATAAGTGCAAAAGGCCTGAAATCACCAACTGGGTAAGTGAAGTGTGTTTCCTCTGGGAAAGACAGCTACGATCAGGTAGCACGAAAACAGAAGCCATTGAACTAACCGTAGCAAACGCCACATTTTCAATCTGAAGTGGCCGAACTTCTGTCAGTTCAGTGCTACTAGTCTTGAATAATGACTAATAAACATATTTAAATAATCACTAACTTAGGTTTTTGGGGTTTTTTTTTTGGGCACAAGTCAGCAAAACCATATTTTATATTAGATTATTTTAAAATTTTTAAAATTTAGTGTGTGACTATGAAGCTTTCCAAGGAAGGACATTGTATGAGAGTGACTTGGTTTTGAAGTAGCTGTGTCACTTTACAGCCTAGGCTTCTTGGAACATACCTAGCTTTTTAAAAAAATTATAAAATACACACAACATAAAATATTTACCACTTTAACGATTTTTAATTGTACAGCTCAATGGTAAGTACTTTCATATTGCTGTATAACCATCATCACCATCTATCCCCATAACTCTTTTCATCTTGTAAAACTGAAACTCTATACCCGTTAAACTACAACTCCTCATTTCTGCTTCCCCCAGCTTTTTGGCAACTATCCTACTTTTCATCTCTATGATTTTAACTACTGTAGGTATCTCCTGTAAGTGGTATCATACAGTATTTATCTTTCTGTGACTGGCTTATTTAACAGTATAATGTCGTCAAGGTTTTTCCATGTTGTAGAATGTCAGAATTTCCTCCCTTTAATGAATTATATTCCATTGTATGTGCCCTCCACATTATGCTTATCCATTCATGCAGGACCCTTGAGTTGTTTCCATGATTCAACTATTTTGAATAATACTGCTGTGAATATGTGGATACAAATATCTCTTTGAGATACTGCTTTCAGTTTTTTTGGGTATTATACCTAAAAGTGAAATTGCTGGATCCTATGGGAATTGTGCTTTTAATTTTTTTTTTTTTTTTTTGAAATGGATCTTTCTATGTTGCCCAAGTTGTTCTCAACTCCTGGGCTCAAGTGATCCTCCCACCTCGGCCTCCTGAGTAACTGAGACTACAAGTGTGCCCCCACATCTGGCTTATTTTTAATATTTTGGAGACCTGCAGTACTGTTTTCCACAACAGCTTAACCATCTTAACATTCTAACTCAACAGTTCACAAGGGTTCTAATTTCTTCACATCCTCATCAACATTTGTTATTTTCTGTTTTTTGATAGTAATCAATCCTAATGGATATGAAGTGGTATCTCACTTTTTTTTTTTTTTTGAGACAGAGTCTCGCTTTGTTGCTCAGGCTAGAGTGAGTGCCGTGGCATCAGCCTAGCTCACAGCAACCTCAAACTCCTGGGCTCAAGCAATCCTACTGCCTCAGCCTTCCGAGTAGCTGGGACTTCAGGCATGTGGCACCATGCCTGGCTAAAATTTTTGTATATATATTTTTAGTTGGTCAGTTTCTTTCTATTTTTAGTAGACACGGGGTCTCGCTCAGGTTGGTTTCGAACTCCTGACCTTGAGAGATCCACCTGCCTCGGCCTCCCAGAGTGCTAGGATTACAGGTGTGAGCCACCGCGCCTGGCCTGTATCTCACTGTTTTTGATTTGTATTTCCCTAATCACTAGGGAATTGCACTAGTGATGCTGAGCATATTTCATGTGCTTATTGACAATTTGTATATCTTTTTTGGAGAAATGTGTATTCTTTTGACCATTTCCTAAAGTCCTTTACCCATTTTCTACTCTGGTGGTTTGTTTTGTTGAGTTTGTTGATATCTTAAGAATATTAAGTCTTCCAATTTATGAGCATGGGATATCTTTCCATTTCTTTGTCTTTTTAACATTTCTTTCAGCAGCGCTTTGTACTTTTTGTTGTATGAATCTTTCACTTTTTGGTTAATTCCTATGTATTTTATTCTTTTTGATGCTATTATAAAAGGAGTTTTCTTAATCTCCCTTATAGGGTGAACATTTGTTAGTATATAGAAATTTAACTGATTTTTGATTGTTGGCTTTGTATTCTACTTTGCTAAATTTGTTTTAGTTATGACGGTATTTTTATAGAATCTTTAGTGTTTTCTATATACAAAATCAGTTATATCATTTGTAAACAGATAGTTTTACTTCTTCCTTTCCAATTTGGATGCCATTTATTTCTTTTTCTTGCCTAATTGCTCTAGCTAGGACTTTCAGTACTGTGTTGACTAGAAGTGGTGAAAGTAGGCATTCTTATGCTTGTAGTTCATTATCTTAGAGGAAAAGCTTGAGTCTTTCAAAATTGCATATGATACTTGCTTTGGATTTTTCATATATGGCTTTCATTATGTTGAGAATAGATTCTTTTTGCTCCCAGTTTGTGGAGTGTTGTTTTATGAAAGGGTATTGAATTTTGCCAAGGGCTTTTCTGCATTGACTGAGATGATCATGTGAATTTTTTCCTCTTCTGTTAATGTCATATATTACATTAATTTTTCTTTTGTTTGTATCTTGAATCATATTTGTGTTTCAGGAATAAATGTCACTTGGTCATGGTGTCTAGATCTTTTAGTAAGCTTTTGAATTCAATTTGCTAGTATTTTACTCAGGACATACCTAGCTTTTAAGTCAGATAATATGAGGCACTTAGTATAGTGCCTGACATTTAGTAAGCAGTTTCTTATGCATCTTATGTGGTAGTCACCAGTGTAGCAAGAAATACACAGAGAATAGAGAGGGGGAGAGGGACATACCCAGAACTAGAAGCAGTTGGGAAGAGGAAGGTGGGGTCATAAGTGGGAAAGAAGGATGAGGCAAGGTAGAGCGTGTACAAAATTGTTAATGGATATGGAAAGGCTACTGTTTTTGGTCTGCCTTGCTCCTGATTCATAGATCCCAGGGAAGCCTCTGTTTTTTCCAAGATTTATTCACTCACTTCAACACTGTTGAACATCTGCTATGTTAGAGGGCAGGATGATCTGTTAGAGGCAAGTCTTGTCTTTGTGAGTTTATAGTCTGGTGAGAAAGGGGATCAAGGCATGCACAAGCTCTTCGTTCCCTGTCTTCTAAGGTGTCTCAGTCTTGGAAACTCCTGTGTCCCAGACCTAACAGAAGCATTTCAACTCTATTTTCCTTTGCAGAAGTTCATCATTGGCTATTATTTATTAAGTATCTTTTTAAATTTTTAGTTAAAAGTATTTTCTTTAGAAACAGGTTCTTGCTCAGTAGCGCAGGCTGGAGCGCAGTGGTGTCATCATAGCTCACTGTAACCTTGAACTCCTGGGCTCTCGGGATCTTTCTGCCTCAACCTCTCGAGTAGCCAGGCCTATAGGCATGTGACACCATACCTGGCTAATTTAAAAGTTTTTTGTAGAGATCGGGTCTCACTGTGTTGCTCAGGCTGGTCTTGAACTCCTGAGCTCAAGTGATCCTCCCACCTCGGCTTCCCAAAGTGCAGGGATTACAGGTGTGAGCCATTGCACCTGGCTGCTCTATCCAATATCTAATATGTTCTAGCCACTGCCCTGGGTACAGTCACTCCTCACAACTGCCTGTGATGTCAGTATTTTCCTAATTTACAGTCTGTATCAGATCTGTCTCCCGCGCTTCCTCGCCAGTTGAAGAGGGCAGCAGAGTAGGCCAAGAAAAAATTACACGTAAGAAGTTTGACTTCATTGCCTCCCTGCTCCTCCTCTGTACAGCATTTACTGTTACACTCTCCACTGGCTGCTGTCAGTTGTTCCTTGACAGTCCTCCTCAGTACTTTCCCTTGCTTTGGGCTTTTTCATAACCACACTTTCGAGTGTCATAATTTACACCTCTCTTGTTCTTTCCTTGATAGATGATATATCTAGCTCAGGTGTCCTCAAACTATGGCCCATGGGCCACATGTGGGTGTTTTTGCCAGTTTGTTTTTTTACTTCAAAATAAAGATATGTGCAGTGTTCATAGGAATTTGTTCATATTTTTTTAAAGCTATAGTCCGGCCCTCCAACAGTCTGAGGGACAGTGAACTGGTCCCCTGTTTAAAAAGTTTGAGGACCCCTGATATAGTGAATACAGCAAACTAGTTTTTGTTAAAATATCATCCCTTTCTCTGATCACATTTTGATAGCATTTTGGAATCTATCAATGGCTTAATTCACAGGGGTGATAAGGAATTTTCAAAGAAATTCTGAGCTAGGTGGCTTTGTGTGATACTTTTCAGACCTATCAGGATCCAGAACAAATGCCACCTTTTCCTGTAAAACTTAACCCTGATTAAATCACTTGGCTCTTTGACTTCGACAGGGAAACCTGGTCACAATAGAGAAACTGTCTCATCATGAGAATGCAACTTGTGACATACACCACAAATGCTGGGTGTGAGAGTGGTTGCCAGAATACCAGGGAAAGTTTCACTACATTACTAAACTGCTGCCTTTCCAAAAACAGCAAATACTGTTGAGAAGTATACCATATCCGGATACTAAGAGAACAAGTGAATATCTAGTGCAGGACTTAGATCTTGGAGTCTTAAGCACACCTGAGTAGTATACAGTTTAGTCACTTTTAACAAATGTGTATAGTCAAGTAACAGATATCCAACTCAAGACGTAGAGCAGCATATCCATCCCTCCAGAAAGTGCCTCTTGCCCTTCCCAGATGTTTTCTTTTCTTTTTTTTTTTTTGAAGATCAGAGAAGCAGAATTTCCCAGATGTTTTCTTTAGCACCTAGCCCCCAGCACTCTTATTTCTATCACTA